TCTTTCATCTATTTCATGACTCACTCTTTCTCGGCACAACAATAGCCTTATTTCTTGTTTCCAAAGCCTAACATGAGGCCTGAAACAAAAGAGAGCCTTCCCCCTTGCAAGAGCTTAAAGCCTAACACGAGGCCAAAGCTTAACTCCTAAAATGAGACATGCAATAAAATGTAGGCCTCAGTATATGATGATACAGTTAATGAGTGGAATTGTCTGTGCCTTCCTGGGCTGAGAGTGTGTGACTCCTTCAAACAACAATTCATTAAGCATTATTTTAAAGGAAGGAGTTGTCTGCAACCTTCCTCTGTGATCTAACAATCATGACTTGAGGTTGAGAGAGCGTGACTCACCCAAGCAACAACTTATTAAGAGTTTATTCTAAAGGGAGGGAGGGAGGGAGGGAGGGCAAACCTCCTCTGCTACAGAATGTGCCTTCCTTGAGGCAACCCAGGAAGGGAACTCTGCTTAGTGCAGCCACCCAAGCCTCCAGCCCTTATGGTCTGTTGGGAAATCCCTGCCAATAAATTCCAAGGGCAGAAACTGCCCAATTTGTAGGGTGTCTTCCTGGGGCAAAGGCATAGCAATGGGAACCCTACTATCTGGGAGAGGGGAGGGGAGGGAGCAAGAGGAACCTGCCTCCTTCCTCATACTAAAGCAAAGAGCACAGCAGGGAGTGGAGCAGCCTTAAATAGCCTGCAGCTTCACCCCTGTCAACAGTCCCTACCAAGTCTGGTCTCCTTCATGCCTTAGGCTTTGCCTTCCCCCATGCCTTAGGCTTTGCCTGCCTGTTATAGGTTGGCCAATTTGGGTGCTTCCACTATATCGGCTATTGCTGAAAGTAATGACAATATGAATATATTGTCAAAATTTGCTTGAGATAGTACATGCAGTTCTGGAGGGACTTGTTTAATTTTTGCTTTTTTTAGACTTAACATGGGAATTTGGTTAACCAATTCATGAGGAAACCAGGGTTTTTTTTAATCTGAAAAGTTTTTTGGGGGGGGGTAACCCCCCCCCCCATGGCCACAACCCTGGTAATGAGATGTCTTGGTGAAGGGGCTAAGTCTAAACATGAATTGCACTGTCTCATATTCACCTTATTCACATAGCAGCCTGGAGGTCATTTTATACAGAAGCTGCAGCCCATGAACTCAAACAGCTTCCTTCCAAAGAATGGTTTTGCAAACCAGCAAACACTATTTTTATTTGTAAAACATCAAAAGGCTCATGCAACCTCTATGGGCATGGAGGGCAATTTTGCTCTTCTTCTGTAGACCCACATGTCCTACACCAATATATCCTCCAACTATCCCAATTTGGAAGGAAGAGTCTTGATGAATCCTCGGTTATCCTGTTTTCTCAGCTGCTTTTAAAACATCCCGCTTTATTTCTCCTCCTTTCGCTTTATTCTGTCCTTACCACAATTGCAGCAAGCAACATCCCCATCTAAACTGACAATTTAATGCAGTTCAAAGCTACCTTCAAACTGTGATGACCAAATAACAAATTTCCATGAAAGCCTGCGAAAGAATGTTCTAAACACATCTCCATGTTTGTGTCATCGCCATCTAGGCCTCAAACTGGTTCCAGGATTACTTATGTAATCATCTGCACAGTGAAATCACATTCTTCCAAACTGGTTTGAAACAGCATTAAATGGTCAGTGCAGATGGGTCCTACATTGCCTGCTAGAAGCAATTCCCCATCAGAGACTTCCTAGTGACATATCTTGAAGTTTATGGGCCTGCGAGCTCAGTTGCAACTTTATCAGAAGTGATGCCAGCAAATTTTTGCCAGGGAGTTCCTTTTGGCCTTAGATCAAAATGCAGCATTTGTACTTAGTTAATCCAGAGCAGGAGAAAGATGGAAGCAAAGCCTGGCGCTTCACAAAGGGCTAGGGTAAAAACAAACTGCTTCAGTCTTTCTCCAAGCTTGTATCTTGTTTCTCAATATGTTTCCCCATCTTGACTCCACAGTCGGACTGTGTATTGTACCAGATATAAACATTTCTTTGGAATGTGGCACAGAGATAAGAAGTTACATTTGGAAATGTACTGTAGGTGCATCTACACTGTAGAATGAATGCAGTTTGAGGCCACCTCCACTGCCATGGCTCAATGCTATGGAATCTTGTGATTCTCCCTCCTGACCTTCAGGAAAAAAAACTAAAGCCATTGCTGTGGGACCAAGATTTTGATCAGTAAAAAGCACAGTAAGAGACTACAAATAACAGAATGATTACTCAGATCTGGATTTTGTGATTTTAACTGAAGTTTTAATGATTTAATGTTTGTGTTTTTACTTGGATTGATTTTAATGCAGTTGTTTATTTACCAGTATGTATATGTATATACGGTATTGAGTTTTGCCTTTGTGAGGCCGCCCTGAGTCCCCTTCAAGGTGAGAAGGGTGGGATAAAAGTGTGGTAAATAAATAATTAAATAAATAAATAAATACAAGGTCCTTAACTGCTTCTGCCAACGAGTGCTGCTGCTTCACCAAACTACATATTCAGGGTTCCAATAGCATTGATCCCATGGCAGTTAAAGTTGTGCCAAACTGCAGATGCATCCTGTGGAATGGTGGGAGGTATGGACATGCTATGTCACTAAATATTTGCCCATTATATAAAATTGTGGGGGAAATAAAAATTAAACCTATTGTCTAAAACAGAAATGTGGGAGTATAAGATACCTCTACTCTGTCCAATATGGAATTTACAATTGTTTTGTTATTTATTCAGTTACTGAAATTTTTCAGTGTGCACACATCGCTTTTCATATGACACACCTGTCAATTTTGAAATTCACATTCTAGTAATATACTCTGAAACTAGGTTGATTCAAAAGCCTTTGAGAGATTGACTTCTTCGCAAGTACAGTTGTGATGGCATGCCAAGGGGGGGGGGGGGAGAGGAAAACTATATGTCCGGCTGTCCCCGGTGGCTATCGGTATACCCTCCGATGTACTTCAGTTCTTTAAAATAAAGACTCTTGAGACAGGATTAAAGTTAACCAAAGAAGTTTATTGGAAACAAAAGGCAAAGTTAACTTCAGTCAGAGTTCTTGAAAGGCAAATCAAAGTAAAATATTACAAATATTACAAAGTTTTTTTATTGAACTTAGTTGCACTGGTAATAAACACTTGACTATATTCGTCGAATATGAGATAAAACACTTGACTATAATTGTGGTAAGTCACTTCGTAAAATAATGGGCTACTGAAAGTAAAATATTGGACTAAAATGGTAAAGCACAGAACTACAACAACTATGTGGTAGAAGCACAAGCTATAGTGACTATGAGGTATAGACACAGCTATGATGGTCAGTACTAGCTATGCTGATAGAATCATAGAGTTGGAAGAGACCTCATGGGCCATCCAGTCCAACCCCCTGCCAAGAAGCAGAAATATTGCATTCAAAGCACCCCTGAAAGATGGCCATCCTGCCTCTGTTTAAAAGATTCCAAAGAAGGAGCTTCCACCACACTCCGGGGAAGAGAGTTCCACTGCTGAACGGCTCTCACAGTCAGGAAGTTCTACCTCATGTTCAGATGAAATCTCCTTTCTTGTAGTTTGAAGCCATTGTTCCGTGTCCTAGTCTCCAGGGCAGCAGAAAACAAGCTTGCTCCCTCCTTGCTTTCTGCTACCCTGGAGACTAGGACAGTATGGTATAGTACAAGCTATGTTGGCAACAGAAAGGTAGAAGCTATATTGGTACATACACAGCTATGATAAGATATATATGTGCTACAGACTGCCTGTTGAGATTGCCAGGCCAAGGAACCCAGACAATTTCTGGCCTTCTCTAAAACTCTGACCCAGAAGAATAAGCCTTTCAGGCAAGTTCTGAGGCAAAAGGCTAAACTAACCGAGCCAGGCCTCTAGGGGTTTTTAAGCTCCACCCCTAAAACTAAGGACAAATTGAAAAGTCCACACCGAAGGGAGGACAAAACAAGGAAATGAAACAGAGGACGGGAAAAAGCTAGGCCAAGACATCGCAACAGTAGTCTCACTTATCCAACCTTCTGTATTATCCAACGCAATCTGCCTCCCGTCTAGATGTTAAGCTGATTCAATACATTGCGATGTTTTGGTGCCATATTCGTAAATACAGTAATTACCACATAACATTACTGTGTATTGAACTGCTTTTTTCTGTCGATTTGTTGTAAAACCTATTTTGGTCCTGAATTTGTAACATCATAACATAATTTGACAATTAATAGGCATTTCCTTAATCCCTCCTTATTATCCAACATTTTTGCTGATCCAATGTTCTGCCGGCCCGTTTAAGCCAGACTCTACCGTATAAGCTGGCCCTACGTTGGCACTCTATATCCACGGACTCTGTATCCACGGATTCAAGTCTCCAGACCCTGAAGGTATGACTTCCCAAAGAGAAACATTTATTTTACCATGTTATATAAACAACACTTTGGCTCCTCAAATGAATAACCAGGTGCTGTGGGTTATATTTCAGAGGAAGAATATATGGGAAAGCCGCCTCCTTAAGAAAAACCTGCCACAGTTCATCAGAGTCACCTTTAAAACAAGACTACAATTCCCAGCTTCCCTTTATATCTTCCGGCTCACCAATAGGGTCATGCCAACCAGCACAGGTGTGTGACGTCACAATGCCAGTCCTTCCAACCCAATGGATTGCCAGCATGAGAAAGCCAGAAAAGAGAACGTAGCCTTATTGGCTCCTCTTCTTTTGATTGACATGCTCATATTACGCCAAAGAGAAGCGGCTCACAGAGCGGCCAACACTTCCGGCATCCTCATCATCCGCTTAAAAGTTTAAATAAAAAAACCTAAAAGATGGAAAGAGGAAAAATAAACCATGAAAGATGTTTTTGAAATATTCTTTCAATACACTGCCTTCATAGACAAAGTCCGCCCGGCTGCATTTCAAGCCCTCAAGGGCGAATGGGAACCCGAAGTCATGATCACAGCATTCAATACCAAACAAGGAGACCACATTGTTTTGGTGCTACACCCGGAAGTTGTCCCTGTGGGAAACACAGCCACTGTGTAGAGTTCCGCGCAGCTTTAGTTCCGAGGCCAGCAAAGTGAAAACTCGGCCTGCCCTTTTTTATTGTGACCCGGGCGCGGAGATGATTCCCATGCCGGTGGTGGTCTGCGTGCTGGGCGGATGGTGCGCCGTTTACCTGGCCGACACGGCGCTGAAGGTGAGCCGGGTCTCGGCGGGAGGAAAGAGCCCCTGGAGAAGGCAGCTGCCTCAACCGGGGGGGGGGGGGGGGGGGGACTGCACAGAGTCTCCCTCTTTTCCTGCTGCCTTCTCCCATGCCCAGCATTACTGTCTTTTCTAGAGAGTCATGTCTTCTCATTATGTGATGTGGCCAAAGACCAACAATCCGTTTAGTCGCCTTGGCTTCTAGGGAGCTTTCAGGCTTGGTTTAGTTGTCTTTTTATCAGCCCAGGGAGTCACTCTGGACTGGGCTCTGACTTCCAAGAAGCACTGCTTGACTATCAAGCAAAAAGTGGATGCTAGAAACAATAACATACAAAAACTAACTGGCACAGCTTGGGAATCACAACTAGATACAGTAAAGGCATCTGTCCTTGTGCTTGATACTCTGCTGATGATTAATAATAATAATAATAATAATAATGTATTGTTGAAGGCTTTCATGGCCGGAATCACTGGGTTGTTGTAGTTTTTTTCGGGCTATATGGCCATGGTCTAGAGGCATTCTCTCCTGACGTTTCGCCTGCATCTATGGCAAGCATCACTACCTCTGAGGATGCTTGCCATAGATGCAGACGAAACGTCAGGAGAGAATGCCTCTAGACCATGGCCATATAGCCCGAAAAAACCTACAACAACCCAATAATAATAATAATAATAATAATAATAATAACAACAACAACAACAACAACCTGGGCCACCCCCGTCATTAGATATACTGCTGGGATTGTGAACTGGATGCAAGTAGAGCTGAATGATCTGGACAGAAAAACAAGAAAACAGATGACAGTCCACTACGCATTATACCCACGTAGTCGACAGACTTTACCTGCCCAGAAAATCAGGAGGCAGAGGGCTTCTGCAAGTGAAACAAACTGTAGAAGAAGAGAAACACGCACTGGCAGATTATGTGAAAGGCAGCCAAGAACCAACATTGAGGGAAGTCAATAGTAGTAAATTGCTTCAAGTGCAAAAGACAAAGAGGGAATACCGTAAAAACACAGTCCAGAGCAGAAGAGAAAACTGGCGAAAGAAGGCTCTCCATGGACAGTTTCTGGCAAAAATTGAGAGCCAAATTGACAAAGAAAAAACATGGATGTGGCTCACAAATGGAACTCTGAAAAAGGAGATGGAGGGCCTGATTCTGGCAACCCAAGAACAAGCCATTCGAACCAATGCTATCAAAGTCAGAATGGAAAAGTCGACAACAAATCCCAAATGAAACAATAGATCACATCCTGAGCTGCTGCAAGAAGATTGCGCAGATAGATCACAAGCAGAGGCATAACACCGTTGCTCAGATGATTCATTGGAACTTGAGCCACAAATATCATCTGCCTGCAACAAAGAACTCGTGGGATCACAAGCTGGAAAGAGTTACAAAGAATGAACACGCCAAACTCCTCTGGGACTTCCGGATTCAGACAGACAGTTTTGGAGCATAATACTCCTGACCTCACAATCATGTTAAAATACAAAGTATGGATTGTCGATGTCACAATCCCAGGTGACAACAGGATTACAGAGAAACAACTGGAAAAGCTGACTTGATATGAGGATTTAAAGATCGAACTGCAAAGACTCTGGCACAAGCCAGTAAAGGTGGTCCCAGTGGTGATCGGCACACTGGATGCAGTGCCTAAAGTCCTTGGCCTGCACTTAAACACAATCGGCACTGTCAAAATTACCAGCTGCAGAAGGCCACCTTACTGGGATCTGCATGCATCATTCGCCGATACATCACACAGTCCTAGACATTTGGAAAGTATCCGACATGTGATCCAATTCAACAGCCAGCAGAGTGTCTGCTGTGGACTCATCTTGTGTTTCAAGTAATAATAATAATAATAATAATAATAATAAATTTTTTTATTTATAACCCGCCATCATCTTCCTAAAGGGAACTCGGGGCAGCTAACACGAGGCCAAGCCCAAAAATAATACAGCATAATTAGACATAAAACAACAGAGAAATACATCATAACAAAATATATAAAATAACAAATAAAATAAACAATATAAAATAGCATAGTAAAATCAAACAAAATCAGTTGTGCAGGTTTGTGGTAGGAGATGTGGTGACAAAGGTAGGTGGGTCCCAAACTGTTCAGGTGAATATGCATGCCCAGTGTGGAATACATCTCACACATTAAAACAGTGGATGGATGTGGCTCTTAATGAGACAGTAGGCTGTTAGGAATTGTGGGAGTTGAACTTAAAAACACCCAGTGGGGCGAAGTTTGCCTATACCTGCTTTAGCCAGTATTTCACCACCTGATATCAGTTGGGAAGTAGCAGCCAGTAATGAAAGGACCAAGACATTGACATCTCTGATCCATCCTTTGTACGGATATCAGCCAACGACTTAAATCAGTGGTTCCCTTTTTTTGACCAGTGACCACTTTAACCAGGGACCACTCTCCAACATTAGTACCAAAACGGTTACAAATCAGGTTTTGGTCAACTTTAGATTCAGTTTGGTTATTTGGGGTACTGATTCTGAAAATTGCATTGTTTAGACCACAGCAGTACAGGTTTCTGAAACAGAACATATGCCATCCAGTAGTCGCCATCTGCTCACTCACAGAAAACCATATTGAATAATCTAGAGCTGATGTGATAGTAGTAATCTTTTGCGGGTAGTCAGCCTCTCCCCTCCCGACTTCCCCATTGCCTCGGCACTATAAGAGGGTTTTGCAAGACCAGTCACTCGTCACCGCATGGTTTTGAGGCAACAGTGTAGCAATGGTGAGGTTGCGGACCATATTTTCGTTCTTGTGGACCACAGGTTGGGAACCACTGACTTAAAATCAAGAAACAGCTTCCCAAGATACAGAGATACTCGCAGGAACACCTCAGCAAGCGAGAGTCCAAAAGTGCAGGCTAAAATCTGGAACCTCAATCAGTGGCTGAGACCAGATGAGAAACTCCCTCCTGGGCACACACAAGACTGGGTGACTTGGAAGGCGTTGAAGAGATTGTGCTGTGGCACCATGAGATGAAGAGCCAATCTCAAGAAATGGGGTTACAAAGGGGAGTCCACAACATGCAAGTGTGGAGAAGAACAGACAACTTATTACAGTGCAGTCTGAGCTCAGCTTCTGGTCAAAGGATATTTAATGCCGAGTTTTTAACTTTTTGTGTTTTTTATACACTATAACTGTATTCTCAACTAGCTTCCGACACAATAAAAAAAAAACCCCAGCCTGCAGTACTATCCATAGATCTCTCCTGCAGCAATACATTCCAAATGAGTTGATTTTCTTCCTAATCAGCTTCCCCCGGTCCAACTTTCACAATAATTCAAGGAAATGGGAAATACACAATAGCATGCACAATCCAAACTATACAGTAATGTCTGTATGCCATGGATAGAAGAAAAACAAAAATTCAGAACCATCCATCATATAATTTGGATTTTCTACTAATATTTCTATTTTCAAATCAGTTCAGAGAAGACACTAATAGTCTACATGCTGCAAAATTTGTCCAAGGGTTAACACCAGCGAAATCTGGTGTTAACCCCTGGGCCAGTGGGCCAGTGGCCAGATTTCACTCTTTCAGCCTCAGAGGAATGACAACCCCCTATGTCTAATCTTTCCAAGAGAACCCAGTGATAAGTTGAAAATGATTTGAAGCCACACAACAGCAAGAACAGCTACCCATGGTTATCTCCTCTTCAGTCTGGAGTGGGGATATATTTTTGACCTACTGAATGTTCTGAGGTCAAGCTCTTTGTCCGTAGGCATTTATATCCATGAATCTAAACAGTATTGGTATTTCTCAGGAAGGAATGTTTTTAATTGTAGCGGCTAATTGAGGATCATATTTTCCACCTACCTCACTCCATTATGTTCTTGGTTCTTCAAACTGGAGCTAAGAAGTTTTTCAGGGAACCAACTCAAATGTACTGCTTAATGGCTATCTGCCATGAGAAGTTTTATCCTTCACAGCCAGTCATTTCTTTCCAAGGAAATTCCATACTTAAACTGCAGTTTTCAAGTGCCAGCTTATTTATCCATATTCAAGTACCCCTTTGACAGGAGACATTGTGCAGACCTCATTAAGTAGCAGTTGGCCAAAATTACAGCACTTTATGTGCTTTCTTCAAAAGGAGAAAATGTTCTGTATAGCTAGGATGTGGTGATGTCTCAAATTTGGTTGTCTTTAAAGAGATGATTAAGATAAATTTGTGGAAGATTAGGCTTGCAATAATTTCTAATCAGGTGGCTTTATGATATTAATATATAGAAGTGAGGGGAGTGAAGGGGCAATATCATTTACTAGGGAACTTGTAAGAGATAGTACTTGTAGAATTCCTAGAGGCATTGAATTGTTGACTATGTTAGCCACCCTGAGTCCCCCCCCCCCCCCGGGGGGGTGTGTGTGTGAGAAGGGTGGGGTAGAAATGCTGAAAATAAATACATAAATAAATCGAGGTATCAGGTTGGCCCTTGAATAGACAGAATACCAGGCTATAGAGCCTTTCAACCAAATCTAGCATGGATGTTCTTATATCTTGATACAATGCAAAAAGAAGAATAGCAAGACAAACTAAACATACAAACAAAAAAAGTGAAAGAGTTACAAAGAGATGTATTTGTGCGGTCATAATCTTAACCTGAAATCTCCGAAAATTCCTTCTCTGTTTTACTGTGTTTCCTTTCTCTTCTAGTCATCCTCCTCCCTAAAGGCATCTTATGAGGATTGGCTCACATACTATGGGCTGACTGTGTCTCCATTCCACATGCGATGGCAGACAGCTCTTTTCAACCGGCTCTTCTACAGCTGGGGAAGATGGAAGCCCCATTTGCTTTACCTATGGTATTGTTTCAGAATTGTACTTCCTGCATGTGTGGGACAATTCGTGGAAATTCTTCTATGTCCTTCAGAATCAGATTGCTTACATATTCTGTTGCTAAATAGAGTACTCTTTTGTTTTAATCTTGAATAGCCCTTTCTTTGGCTTAAATTACAATGAAAGCGTGTTCCTGATATGGAAGACTTGGGTGATAAAGGAACTCCCCTGGTAAATGGTGAATGTGCTGGCTGAGTTTCCCAAATTGATCACAGAGCTGGTGTTGACTTACGATACTGGAAAGAGTGTTTGGAATTCCAAAATCGCAAATACTCCCAAATCTGAAAATGTCCGCATGGGTGGTTGAGATGGTGACACCTGGTGTACACAAACATTTGTTACTTGCACAACATTATTAAAAAATAGTGTATAAAATTATCCTCAGGCTATGCATATATGAAACATGAATGAATTTAGACATGGGTCCCATCTCCAAGATACCTCATTATGTACATATATGTATTAACAGGTATAACACTTCTGGTCTCAAGCATTTTGGATAAGGGATACGCAACCTGTATTATACCATTGTTATTTGTTTCAGGTTTAACATGGGAATGATTTTTGGCATAGCTGCTATGTTTGGTTCTGTTATTCTCCTGGGGAAGACACTGCTGCAGACTCTCTCGCAGATGTTATCTGAATCTCCTGCAGGTCAGAATGATCAAATGCTGCAGGTTGTGGTGAGTTTTATATATTTTTTGTTTCCAAGTCAAACAATGCAATACCGTGTTTCACTGCCTAATAGTCACAATACCCCCTTCCTTTGGAGGGGGGAAGGGGGTACGACTATTGTATGGTGAATTTTTTTTTTTTTTTGCAGCTCCTGCAGGCGAAAGTTGCAAGGCATCCCTTGGCTGGTGCAGTGGAGGGAAGCCCTGTAGCTCTCGCACCTTCATCTGCCTGTCCACCTGTCCATTGGAGCTACAGGCGCTTCCCTCAGCTGCAGAGCCCCATAGCTCCAAGGGGTAGGCACATGGGCATGGTGTGTTTGACCGTTATGTGAAGCATAATGAAATACCAAAACTAGGACCTCAAAAAGGGATGTGTAACTATTATGCAATGACAACTATTATGCGATGAAATATGATATTTACTTTAACAGGAAAAAATTAAAACCTGGCTGTATAAGCAGGCGTTTGGTGAGTGACAGAAGTCCAGTGTAACACCTCATCATGATATATAGACATAAACGAAGCAGATAAATGAGGATTATTGGATTGCTACAATGTTCAATATATTTTATGATATTTACATATATAATTATTTAATTTGTATGTCTATTGATTTTAGTTAATTACAATGTGTATTTTTATGCATATTGTGGCTCTATCTCACCTTGGGGTGATAGATAATAATAAATAAGAGACCTCAAAGGCCATCTAGTCCAGCCCTCTGCCATGCAGGAATACACAATCAAACCACTCCCACACCATTTTTGTTATATTTTAATGTTTGACTCAAAAGCATTTTAGGCTGATTTTTCACACTCCACCATTGTGTTAAATTTTAATTATTAGTTGAATAAAATACAGAAATAAAAATGAGACTGAGGAAAAAGAAAGATTAGCATTTATTAAAAAAAATTAACAAAACTGTAAGATACAGCACCTTTGGCAGGTTTTTCTCCTGATGTAGAAATGAAATACCTTTGCCTATCATATACCGTATTTTCTGTTGTATAAGACGACTGGGCTTATAAGATGACCCCCAACTTTTCCAGCTAAAATGCAGATTTTGGGATATAATCACCGTATAAGACTACCCCTCTTCCAACGGACACCAAATAAAAATTTTAAAGCATCCAATTTGACTTCAATATGGTAATTTTCCTATTACCGTACCTGCTTTTCTGCGTCTCAGATTTTGCACATGCGCACCTGCGCCGCTTCACTGCAGTCCTCAGGAGCAAGATCTGAGAGGCAAAGAAGCAGGTACGGTAATAGGATACAAGGGTGGGCCAGACAGATGAAAGAGGCGTGTTTTTCTGGGCTACTCTATCTCTGTTTTCCATACCTCGTATATCCTGGAAGCTTGCAGCTTGCTCCACCCTTCACTTACACCTTCCTGGTGAGGCACCCCTCACCTAGTCATCGGGACCGTGTCAAATCACTTCTTTTCACAAGTCCTGGTGACTGGACTTTCTTCTTCTGTACTTGTACAGCGCTGCCCTTGCTGCTTTCATATGGTCACCACATATAGCAGGGATGTGGCCGCTATATGCCACATCCCTGCTATATTTGAGCTCCCCCCACCATGTGTGGCGACCACAGAGTCTTCCGTTCGGCTCGGAAGTTTCAGCACGTGCCCTATAAGACGACACCAGCATATAACCCCCAACTTTTGAGGAGATTTCCCTGGGTTAACAAGTAGTCTTACATGTCAGAAAATACAGTACTTTTTACACATACAAGCTTTTTGAAATAACCAGAAGTAGCTTCACTTGAAGTTAGGATACAGGTTTCCATATTTGTCACATCAGCTTGCTATACATCAGTAAGTATTAAAAAGCAGAACCTAATTCACAAATCAAATATGTTTTCCTTGGTCTCACAGAATTACCACTTGGTTTATGTTTCCTACTAAAAAACATTCAAGTTCCAAAGGTTCTGCTTGTCTGTAAGGTTATTATTTGTAGCATCTAGAAATATCAGGATTACTTGTGGCTGTTAAAACAAGAATGAAGTATCCTTTCTATGTTGTTGTTGTTCATTCGTTCAGTCGTCTCCGACTCTTCGTGACCTCATGGACCAGCCCACGCCAGAGCTCCCTGTCGGCCGTTACCACCCCCAGCTCCTCAAGGTCAATCCAGTCACTTCAAGGATGCCATCCATCCATCTTGCCCTTGGTCGGCCCCTCTTCCTTTTGCCTTCCACTTTCCCCAGCATAATTGTCTTCTCTAGGCTTTCCTGTCTCCTCATGATGTGCCAAAGTACTTCAACTTTGTCTCTAGTATCTTTCCCTCCAGTGAGCAGTCGGGCTTTATTTCCTGGAGGATGGACTGGTTGGATCTTCTCGCAGTCCAAGGCACTCTCAGAACTTTCCTCCAACACCACAGCTCAAAAGCATCGATCTTCCTTCACTCCGCCTTCCCTAAGGTCCAGCTCTCACATCCGTAGGTTACTACAGGGAATACCATGGCTTTGACTAGGCGGATCTTTGTTGCCAGTCTGATGTCTCTACTCTTCACTATTTTATCGAGACTGGACATTGCCCTCCTCCCAAGAAGTAAGCGTCTTCTGATTTCCTGGCTACAGTCTGCATCTGCAGTAATCTTTGCACCTAGAAATACAAAGTCTGTCACGGCCTCCACGGTTTCTCCCTCTATTTTCCAGTTGTCAATCATTCTTGTTGCCATAATCTTGGTTTTTTTGACGTTTAGCTGCAACCCGGCTTTTGCGCTTTCTTCTTTCACCTTGATTAGAAGGCTCCTCAGCTCCTCCTCGCTTTCGGCCATCAGAGTGGTGTCATCTGCATATCTGAGGTTGTTAATGTTTCTTCCAGCAATTTTCACCCCAGCTTTGCATTCATCCAGGCCCGCACATCGCATGATGTGTTCTGCATACAAGTTAAAAAGGTTGGGTGAGAGTATGCAGCCTTGCCGTACGCCTTTCCCAATCTTGAACCAGTCTGTTGTTCCGTGGTCAGTTCTGACTGTTGCTACTTGGTCCTTGTACAGATTCCTCAGGAGAGAGACAAGGTGGCTTGGGATGCCCATCCCACCAAGAACTTGCCACAATTTATTATGATCCACACAGTCAAAGGCTTTATAATAGTCAATGAAGCAGAAGTAGATGTTTTTCTGAAACTCCCTGCCTTTCTCCATTATCCAGCGGATATTGGCAATTTGGTCTCTCGTTCCTCTGCCTTTTCTAAACCCAGCTTGAACATCTGGCAACTCTCGCTCCATGTATTGCTGGAGTCTTCTTTGCAGGATCTTGAGCATTACCTTACTGGCATGTGAAATAAGGGCCACTGTACGGAAGTTTGAGCAGTCTTTCTATACTCTATTTCTTTTCAGATCTCTCTATACCAGTGGTTCTCAACCTGTGGGTCCCAGATGTTTTGGCTTTGCACTCCCAGAAATCGTAACAACTGGTAAACTGGCTGGGATTTCTGGGAGTTTTAGGTCAAAACACCTGGGGTGTTTTGGGGTGTTGGGAACCACTGCTCTATAACTTCTGTTTGTTCAGAAAGGAAACTAGTGGGCCGTGGGAGCATGTTTAATGTATGGCATACTTAGTACTTAGATCTAAAGATGCCGATTTTTAAAAAGAATGTGCTTTCTAAATTAATGCCCAAAGCTCCAGCATTTCTGGAAATGATAGTGATCTGCAGCATTGGCACTGACTTCCTGTTGTTTGTGTATTTCTAAAGCCACCAAATAGCTATCTGACTAGTGAAAAACACATATTACAAAACTAAAACAAATGCAAAGACACCAACCTAACACATTAACATATCGATACTACACAACTGCAGAGACAATTTGACAAACCTCTCACTCATTGCCTGTTGATTTTACCCCTTATTATTATGATTTTTAGATAATACTATATAACTACACTTCTATTTTAATAACATTCCTCTAATTCATAAATCCATTGACATTTGCCCCCCATCATTATTGCATCTGCCAGTACGTACATAATGCATATACCTTGCTGATTTGGGGAGATTTTAGGCATAATAATCCAAAACATAACATTCCCAGATTTTGATTAAGAGCATTCTCTTTTGTGAAATGGTTTCCAACAGAATACAGGAAGTCATGATTTTGCTGTCTTGTGTCTTTGGAAAACAGGTGCCTGGTGTAAATCTTCCCATCAGCCAGCTGTCCTATTTCTTCACAGCCATCCTCATCAGTGGTGTCATACATGAAGTTGGCCATGGGGTGGCAGCTATTCGGTAATACAGTCCACTTTCCCTTGTGTTTCATGACAGTAAAGCTTTCTCAAAGCATTCTTGTTCACCGATAGTTATAGTATAGAGACAGTATATGAATTTTGAGAAATATTTTTTAAAAAAAAAAACGAATTGAAGAAAGGAATGGAGGTGACAGAGAATCAACGTTTCATTTTTTTTCTTGTATCACTTGTTACTTTGGAGTACTGAGCATCTCGATGTTGCTGGCTTATTAATCAAGCTGACTGTGCTTAAATATCAGCATGCTGAGCTCCATATACCTGGAGTTTGTTTCTAAAAGGCACAATTTAAAAAAACTGAAAAGCAAGTTATAGGAGGTAGCATATGAGTTATCAGTAAAATATTATATGCAGATCAAAACTATCAAATGTACCAGAGCACTTCAGTACAAGGCTTGTAAGTGCATTATATAGCAAAAGAATATATATCCTCAGCATGTTTTTTTCTGAATCCGATACAATTGGCTCATTTTCAGTAGATTCATGCAAGATTTTTAATTGAGAAGACTACTTAACATAGTAAATTAATGTAACAAAATCATAATATTAACAGTGTAGTTTTCTTTGCATTTTAATACTGATATGTAAGCCAAAGCATTACATTTTCCAAAAAAGATACATTTACAAAATTCAAAAACAGAGTTGAGTAATATCTTTATGGAGATATTCAAATAATATTAGGAAGGCGGGTTTTCAAGTTTACAAAAATACATATGTTTCTCACAACTTACGTACTTTCCCCTTCATGTCGCCTCTTTTGCTGCCGGATGTGGGTTTGCAGAGACATAGAAGTCAGGAAGTCCTTGGTTTGAATCTCACCTCTATGATAGACAAGCCACTGTTTCTCACTTTCCCATTTCTCATATCTGAAATGTAGACAAACTGAAAGTTGACTGTGCTACAGGGCTGTTTTAAGGACTTTAGCTAGGTAGTGCACATGAATCATTTTGTTTGTTAACAAAACTTATTTATATTTGGTCTTCTTTTAACTGTGTGTTTTAAAACTGTTCTTCATTTTATTGATAACTTAGTTGTACTTTTAACTTTTATATGTTATAATTTTTAGAAGGAGCCCCTGGTGGCACAGTGGGTTAAACCACTGAGCTACTGAATAGAAAGGTTGGCGGTTTGAACCCAGGGAGCGGGGTGAACTCCCGTTGTTAGTCCCAGCTTCTGCCAACCTATTAGTTCGAAAACATGCAAATGTGAGTAGATCAATAGGCACCTCTCTAGCGGGAAGGTAACTGCGCTCCATGCAATCATGCCAGCCACATGACCTTGGAGGCGGCTAAGGACAACGCCAGCTCTTCGGCTTAGAAATGGAGATGGGCACCCACCCCCCCAAAGTCGGACATGACTAGGCTTAATGTCAAGGGGAAATATTTACTAATTTTTAGAATTGTATCTGTTTTAAGGTATTAGTTACCTTTAGTTCTAGACTATAAAAAGGAAGAATAACACCACCACCAATAAACAATAAAATGCTATACAAATTATTCCTTGCCTCAACCTGAAGTGAATTTGTTCTCAGTGAAACCACTGTTAGTATTTATATTGGTATAATAATGTACAGTGTGTACAAATTGCTCTTTAACTCAAGTTCCTTTTTTAGTTTTCGAAAAATGTCATCTGCTGTTGCAAAAACAACTTCTTTTATTTTCTTACAGAGAACAGGTTCGGTTCAATGGCTTTGGAATTTTTATATTTATTGTTTATCCTGGGGCATTTGTTGATCTCTTCACCACCCACTTGCAACTAATTTCTCCAGTCCAGCAGCTTAGAATATTTTGTGCAGGTAAATGTGCTCTCATGGCTATGTTGCATCTAAATTTGTGTTACTTGTTATTTTGAACATCCGAGTGTTGAAGATGGAATCTGATAGTATAAAGACTAATTAACCTAGAAAACATTCCTGCACTATTGTTTTTGAATTTCTAATGTAAGGGTGGGTGGGAAAACTTTTTCCATACAGATGTTCTATCTAATCATGCAAAACTGCTCTGGGCATCACAGCAAAGATTGAAGGATTGTGGGAGTAGTCCCAAACATATGCAATGCTGAAGGTTACCCTCACCAGTTGCTAAGATGTCAAATGAGCTATAAAATGTTGTCGCTGTTTCCAAACCTTTTGGCAAAAAGAACCTCAAATGGAGAATGAATTTTTAATGCTGTGATCTTATTCAGCAACCTCAATATTGTAAACTGGATCTAAGATTTGTAACTTCAGAGGAATGCAATATTCCTGAATGCAATATTCCTGCTTCTTGGCTGGGGGTTCGACTGGATGGCCCACGAGGTCTCTTCCAACTCTTTGATTCTATGATTCTACAGTCACAGATGGTTGAGCGTGACCCCAAAAGTCTATCTTTTCAGCCTGACTGAAAAGCCAACTGAAGGGTTTTTAAAATGTTGAAGATCAGGACACTGGGGAATGATATCAGTTGGTCACATCATCACCATTAGCAAGTTCCATAGAAATCTCAAAATTGTATTGCTGGTGAACAGGGCCTATGCTTTGTCGAAGGCTTTCATGGTCGGAATCACTGGGTTGTTGTAGGTTTTTTCGGGGTATATGGCCATGTTCTAGAGGCATTCTCTCCTGACGTTTTGCCTGCATCTATGGCAAGCATCCTCAGAGGTAGTGAGGATGCTTGCCATAGAAGCAGGCGAAACGTCAGGAGAGAATGCCTCTAGAACATGGCCATATAGCCCGAAAAAACCTACAACAACCCAGTGCCTATGCTGTTAATTTCTCTACTCTTAACTACATTGTAACACTGTGAGAACACCAATGAGCTGGAGAATTATTGTGCAGTGCAATCTGTTTTGCTAATTGTGAGAGAACATTAACGCCAAAATTGTATGTTGGAATGGCTTCAAATGGAAAATGAAATAGTTTAGTCACCCATTTAATTTGAGCTCTTGCCATGAATATTGTCCTTGTGGAGGATTACTGCTCTGGCAGAATTTATGCAGCAGTTTTGTTTTAAGCCAGATGTCTTTTAAAACACTTTTAAGGAGAGAGAATTTCTGTATTATTATTAGAGCAGTTAGTAATGGAAATGAAGACAAATACTTGGCTACACAGTTAAAAACAGGCTAGTTTGTTGATTTTCATCATGGCAACTCTAATCCCTGGGATATCCCAAGACATTAGTTGTGACTAATTTAGGAGGGGAATGGACAAATATACTTATAGAAAAGATCATTATGCTTACTTTTTGCTCATCAAATAGCTTGTGAACACAAATGAGGTGTTTTTTTCAAAGCCAGTAAAACATTCTATAAAAAAGAATGGCAATGAATTCTTGTAGTTTTTAAGAAAGATATATTTATTCATAACAAGTTAGAAATCTGTAGAAGTTTGATTTATTGGGAATAAATTAGGACAAGGCAGCATGTTAGCGCCACATTCCCTGATTACTAAGGCCCCTTCCACCTGGCTGTATAAAATCCACATTGAACTGGATTATATGGCAGTGTGAACTCAGATAACCCAGTTCAAAGCAGATGTTGTGGATTGTCTGCCTTGATATTCTGGGTTATATGGTTGTGTGGAGGGGCCCTAAGAGAAGTGAATGAACCACAGATTTCTTGTCGAGAGCGGATGTACGTATTTCTCTAACAAACCAGAGAAATAAATCTGGAACAAACAAATGTTACGGAAGAACAAATGCCACAGAACTCTGTCTTGTGTGTGAATGTAATCTCTGTGTTAACTTTGCCTGTAAGCCTAGGACAAAAACGTGGAGCATCTCTCCCCTATTTTTTTATTGCAGCATTTTGTAAAATTATACTTGCAAGAAGAAATTACTCATTCAAAGTATGTACCTTAAAAGGTGTTATTTTGCTTCAGCAAATAAGCATGCTTGGGAACTAGTCTCATTGAAATCAATAATAGATACTAATAATGTTTACCACCTAATGTTTTTGAGGGTTTAGAGTGACTTTATCTATATGTTAAGAAATATTGTCACATTAACAACTATGTTGTATTATTGTAGAAGGTGTGGCCAAGTCAAGAAAGGAGCTACTAATTTTCCACTTTACACCATTGGTTACAATCATTCAGTAGGACTTAGGGCCCTTCCACACAACCGTATAACCCAGAATATCGAGGCAGAAAATCCCACAAGATCTGCTTTGAACGAGGTTATCTGAGTCCACACTGCCATATATTCCAGTTCAAAGCAGATAATGTGGGGTTTTTTTCAGCTGTTTGAAGGGGCCTTTGTTTCCAAATAAATGTGAACAGGATTTTATTACCTATGTTGCTATGTTTGATTTTTTGTAAAGAAACACAACATTGAAGAGTCTATATAACTATCTTCATTGTTCATTTTGTTCGTAAATATTCTGCTGTCATGTGAGTCATATTCTCCTTCTTTGATGGTAAATGAGATAGCTTTGTTTGTTCAAACATTAGTCTTGCTACTCAAAATACTTAATCACTTTGGTAAACCAAAACTATTATAAAAATAGCCAACTTAGGAGGCAGGTTTGGTTCCCATTCATTCTTGGGACACCCCACTGCTTTACTGTGAAGTGCTATTTATTTGTTATTTATTTATTGGATTTATACCCTGTCTTTCTCTTGGATGGGATATGAATGTTACATGTACCTGGAAGAACTCTCAAACATACCCTTAATTACTGTTGAAGTGTTATTCTTTGAGATCTTAACTTTATTTATCCTACATCCTAAAGCAGAACATACCTGAATTTCTTCTTTTACTTAACAGCCTGTTACTCGAGTAAAATTAGGCCAATCATAATATGTTGAGTGTAGTCTAGTGAGCCTTACAGATAACTGTTAATGTTTGTTTTCTTGTCTTTCAGGAGTTTGGCATAACTTCGTGCTTGGAGTTGCAGGCCTTGTGGTTCTCTTCTTACTGCCAGCTATTCTTTTTCCATTGTATTACACTAATGCAGGGGCTCTTGTCACTGAAGTCGCAGAGGTAAAGGTCATGAGTAACTCATTATTTGGAAAGAGTAATGACAAGCATTTCTCCCAAGTGAAATTATTGTCTTTGCATTAATCATACCATAGATGTGATGAAAGCAACTCATAAGAGTCAATCTGCCCTGCTTGTCAAATGCTGCATGTATTATTCAGCTGATGTCTGCCTTTCATCCTGTGTATAGCCCTAATTATGGTTGATGCTTTAATCTTTAAAACAATATAAAATTAGGGATTTAAAGAGGAAATGTATAATCAGTGCAATACTTTAGAAAAGCTGATTATCTTGTTCTTCTGGACAAGTGGCACATTGGCCAGGTGTATTGCCTAGGGCTTTGGCGATAATTGGGAGCCAAATTGATATTTTACTACTAGAGAGGCCTTTTCACATGCCATGCTTAACCATGGGTTATTTCTGCATTTGCTCATCATGCTGTTAAACTAAATTTTGGTCCTCCGAGGACTTCAGCTCCCAGAAGACTCAGCTGCTTTGGTCAATGATAAGAGAATCTGGGAGCTAAAGTTCCAAACACCTGGAAGATGAGAGTTTGGGAAAAATTGGATTAAACTGTGGTTTAACATTCCCTGTAAATTTGGTCTGTCCAATAGTCATTAGATCAATGATTATCAACCCTGGGTGTTTTGGTCTACAACTCCCCAAATCCCAACCAGTTTACATCTGGAGACCCACAGGTTGAGAACCACTGTATTAGAGGGTGCATGCGAATTTCTCAGCTAATATTTTATTTTAGGACTCTCCTGCTAATGGACCCAGAGGTCTTTTTGTTGGTGACCTTGTGACTAGTCTGCAAGACTGCCCAGTTAATAGTGTGGAGGACTGGAATTCCTGCCTGGGAAAGATCTCTGTAAAGCCACAGACAGGCTATTGCATAAAGACATCAGTACTACAACAACTGAGCTACCCATCTAGAGGTAAAGATATTTCTGCATTTAGATATATTCTAAATATTACATTAATTTATCCTTTAAATGATTGACTAAAATGTATGACTTAGTAGTGGAAGCTGGCATGTGGTAGTGGGCTGAGCTTCTGACTATGACTCTAGATACCAGGGTTTCAATCACCATCCATCCATGAAACTCACTAGGTGACCTTTGAAAAGTCACACTATTTCAACCTCAGAGAAAGGCAAGGGCAAATCTTTGAACAAATCTTGTCAAGAAAACCCTGTGACAGGGTCACCGTAAATTGGAAAGAGCCTAGGCGCATGGTAGCAACAGAGTTTTTTTTTAAAAAAAAACAAAACAAAACTTGTGTACATTAAAGATGGCCAAACACCATCTTAAAAGTCATCCCTCTTTCTCAGAATATCAAATCCTTCTGAATGATGTTTGATGTTCTGCGTGAATGAACTATTTTTTAAAAAAACATAAAATTTACTCACCCTCATGCAAATGTCTTCTGAGGCTAAAGGCAGAAGTACTTTATATGTTTTTAATCTGTTTTTATTGCTTTATGTGTTTATTTTGCTCGTGTGTTTAATTGTTTTATAATTGATGAGGCCAGTTTTTATTGTAATATTCATATATGGCATTGAATTTTGCTGAAGTTGTAAGCTGCCTTGAGTTCCCTCCAGGGTGAGAAAGGAAGGGTATAAATGAAGTAAATAAGTAATAAATAAATAAGGATTAGACGATGCAAATGGATATGGAGTTGAACTGGTTAGACATTAATTTTTATTGTTTTAATTGGTTTTATATTAATTTTATTGTGCAATATCAAATATTTTTAACTGTATGTATGTATGTAACCCCCAGTGGTGCAGTGGGTTAAACCGCAAAGCTGCTGAGCTTGCTGATCAAAAGGTCGCAGGTTCGAATCCGGAGAGTGGCATGAGCTCCTGCTGTTAGCCCCAGCTTCTGCCAACCTAGCAGTTCAAAAATATGCAGATGTGAGTAGATCGATAGGTACCGCTCTGGCGGGAAGGTAATGGCACTCCATGCAGTCATGCCGACCACATAACCTTGGAAGTGTCTACAGACAACGCTGGCTCTTCGGCTTAGAAATGGAGATGAGCACCAACCCCCAGATTCGGATACAACTGGACTTAATGTCAGGGGAAAACCTTTAACTTTCTATGTATGTTCATGGCATCTAATTGTTGCAAATCTGGACGCTGCTCTGAGTTGCCTGTGTGCTGAAAAGAGCGGGATAAAAACGCAATAAATAAATAAATAAGGCAAAGTAAATTGGGCAGGACCAAATCTTTTTTGTTTGTTTTTTTTTTAAAGGACATATTCTTACTGAGTATACAAAGGAGAGCTTAGTTCTGTGTGTGTTAACTGAGAAGTATGATTCAATATAATAGTTTCTCAGGCTGCAAAGTAGACTCACTTCCAAGCAACAGCTTTCTGCCCTCGAAATAACCTTTTATTTTGTGGTCCATGAGGGATTCCTGCCACCACAACTTGCCTGATTATATCCAGCCATTGAACCAGAACTTTCCCATCACTGATCTAAAACAATTATAAAAATCTCAAGAGAGGCTTATTTTGATCATGGTTGTTCGTTTTCTCTAAATGAAGTAGATTATTTAAACTACGTACTGTAGCCGAACTTTAATTTTCATGCTTACATCTGAAAGAGCAGGGGTGCTTGTTTATTTATTTATTTATTTGCTGCATTTGTTGACCGCCGTTCTCAGCCCTAGGGCGACTCACGGCGGTGTACAACATATAAAAACAGTTTACAATAAAGCAATAACACAACAAAATATCAACATAACTATCAATAATACCACAATAATATAATTACACTAAATCATCCGCTCCGTCTCATCGTAGAATCATAAACCAAACTCGTAATCCATGCTCCGTTCCAGTCGTCATTGCCAATTGTTGTAGCACTTACTTAAACGCCTTCTCAAATAACCATGTCTTTAGGCTCTTGCGGAATGACAAAAGGGAGGGCGCCTGTCTGATG